ATATATATATATATATATATATATATATATATATATATATATATATAATTATAAAATAAAATTAATGTATATAGTACTATAATTACTATATATATATAGTATTACTATATATAATAAATACTTAAAAAAAACAATTATTATAATATAATATAATATATAATATATAATTATAAAATTAATAAATATATATATAATAATATATATATATATATATATATTAAAATATTATACATAATTATAAAATAAAATTAATAAATATATATATATATATAACAATTTTATTAAGAATAAAATTATTAATAAATAAATATTATTATATATAATATTTATATATATTAAAATAAATAAATAAATGTGTTTGACTTACGGTCTCGAGAGAGCAAACCTCGCAACCGGCTAAGCTCAGCGTACAATTACCTAAATTCCGTTTCTTGATCGAAAGATCTTCAGAGTAGAGTAATCAGTCTTACGCCATTTATATATCTATATATAAAATAAAATTCAATAATTGTAAAAAAAAAAAAAAAAAGAAAAAAAATATAAAGAAAAGCAGATAGTCTTGTTAAAGTATAAATTTGATCGATAACAACAAGTCAAGAGAATTATTATTGAAATATTCATTGACTATCGTGTCACTTGTTATTATTATTATTATTATTATTATTATTTGACGATAAATCTTTATTGTATTTTGTAGGAGAGTTTGAGAGAAAATCATGGACGAGAGATAGGGAAAGGTGAGGAAAGGGAGAAGGTGGAAGGTAGAGTAGGAGGAAGAGGAGGACGAGGAAGAGGAGGAGGTGGTGGAGGTGGAGAAAGGGACAGGGGATGGGAAAGGGGTTAGACGTATAACCAATTTTACGATAGCAAAGCGTGCATAAAGCACGATCTCTACAAAGTGTATATCTATTATAATTATAAAGCACGGGAAGTTGTGGTTGGATCGATTATTTTGCTAGTATAATATGACAATATTGATGGTCTTGTAATCACACACGTGAAAATATAATATATATATATACATAATACGGTTGACGATATGAAAATTTGAACACACACACACACACACACACACGTATGATAGTAAAAAGAGATTAAAATCTTATTAAACTTTTCTAAGTAAAGGTTCGAAGTAATAAGATACGAATGGAAAATATGAAATAGTGAAAAAAGATACATACATACATACATACATACATACATACATACATTTTTTTGTTTGAAATTTTCCATTAAAATACGAAGAAGCTTTTTATTCGATACAATGTGTAAAAAAAAAATAAAAACAAAAAAAAAATATAAAAAAACATTGGAGTTGTCGAATTGTCGATACTACATTTTTAGTACGTTGTTGTAAAAGTTCACGGGGAAGGTGGACGGGGGACGGGGGATTTGATACGGGAATTTGCAATATTTTAAAAAGCATTTTATAATAGTGCTCGAATAATACGTTTTCAAAAAAGAAGATTTTATGGGAATTGATCTTGGTTAGCTTTTCAGGTAACAATGACGAAGTTTCGCTTATCGTGACACGATTATATATATATATATATATATATATATATATAGGTATAGAAAAGAGAAACACACATTGAAACGTCGAAGCGAAATTTAGCTTTTCACAAGTGAGTTTACTTCTCTACTAGAAAGGATGAACTAGTAGTAACTTGCAGAGCTTTCTAGTAGTTTGCGAGTGAACCGGAAGAAGGGAACGTTCGAGCGTGATTGTTGGTAAAAGCTCTTGATCGTTCGTGCGTTGAAAATGTTCATGGTGACTATTTTTTCTACACTTTTTCTACCATAACGACTATCCCGTTCATCGATTACTATTGAGAGTAAATCCCTTCATCAACAATCTTAATACAATTAACTCTTTATTTTTCATGTTTACCCTTTTACACATACTTACTTGATATTCTACTCTACTGGTGGTGAGGTTTTTTCCGAAAAGTAGTACTTATCATTTAGTATAGTAGCCGTTTCATAG